GAAACCTCCTCCTTTTTTGAAGTAGGTTAAAAATAGTACTAAACGAATAAACACAAACGTAGATCGGATATTGGATATTAATAATAATAATAATAATAATAATTGTCAGTATACATTCTCAAATTTCTTAATTATTATAATCATAAAATAAAATTGAAAAAATTATATAACAGAATATTAAAATAATATTAAAACATATGTCTATGAAAAAAGTAAGTTAACAAACAGCAATAATAGAACAGAGAACAAAATGACAAATAATTAAATGACTAAAAAAATATAAAAAATTCGATAAAATTGCACATTATTAATTCACTGAATACGTTTAGATTATTAATTTGACATAAATTCGTTTATACTGTAATAACATTTTTCTGTTAACATGTCGCGTAGTTTTTTCTTAAATAGATTTGTGTTTAATTCCTTCATTTCTTTCGGGAGCCTATTATATATTTTTGGTGCCATGCAGAGTATACTCTTGCTCATAAGTTTAGTATTAGTTTTAGGTAAACAAAGTTTGTGTAAGTCACGTCTGCTTCGCTCATGGTTGGGCTTGGAGAAAAGAGACAAGTTATTTTTTACAAACATCGCACTCTCAAATATGAATAGGAATAATATACAGTTAACAGTGATTCAATGTTTAAGGTGCTAGACAATTTCCATAGAATATATGCCGCTTTACTTATTTTGTTACACACTATGTCCGATTGATAAGTCCATGTTAATCTAGTGTCGATTGTCAAGCCTAAAAACTTTGTGTAGTCAACTTTTTCAATTTGGTTTCCTCTGTGTATTACTTTTAAGTTTAAATCATTTGCACATCTTTGATAGAACTTTATAAATTTAGTTTTATCCAAATTAACTTGTAAATTATTTTTTTTGCAATTCCTCAATTATTTGTGTTAGTGTTAAATTTAATTCGTCTTCTAGATCATGTTTAACACTTTTAATGATAGCTGTGCTATCATCGGCAAATAAAACCATGGGGTGTGAAACACATTTAGGTAAGTCATTTATGTAAATAAGAAATAACAATGGTCCTAACACACTTCCCTGTGGAACGCCATACCGAACATATCGAGAATTAGATGTGTAAATTTTTTCTTCTCTCATTTTTATGTCGATACGAGTTATTTGTGTTACTTGTTGTCTATTGGTCAGGTATGTCCGAATCAGATTTAAAATATTACCTCTTATTCCGTAATATTCAACTTTATGCAATAATATTTGGTGGTCTACATAGTCAAAAGCTTTACTCATGTCTAAAAACAGAGCGCAGATATCTATTTTATTATCAATGTTTTTGATTATTAAATTTAATAAATCATATATTGCTCTATTAATTGATTTATTTTTCCTGAATCCCTTCTGTTCATCCACTAATAGATTAAATTTTTCGAGATAATTACTCAGGTATTTATGCATAATCTTTTCAAAAATCTTCGATATAACTGGTGTAAGGGCAATGGGTCTATAGCTGCTTATATCATCTTTCGAACCCTTTTTTTTATAAAGTGGTTTAATAACAGTTGTTTTAAGACCCTCTGGGTAAACACCAACTTGTACACATAAGTTAAATATGTAACTTAAATGTGGAGAAACACTCTTGTTGACTAACTTAATGACACGTGTAGAAAGTTCATCGTATCCAACGCTATTTGTGTTTTTTAGTGACTTTATAGCATTTGAAACATCTAGAGAAATGATTGGTGGCATAAAAAATGAATGCGCAGATGCTTCTAATGTGATATTTTTATTATTTCTTAAAACTTGAGATGCCAATACTTGGTCAGTATAATAATTATTAAATGCATCGGCAATGTCTTTCGGATTATTGATGATAGCATTATCATCACCAAAGTTTATTTTTTCAATGTATTCTTGAGGGTGATAACTCTTATTTCCATTAATAATTTGCCAAATAGTTTTACATTTGTTATTTGATAATTTAATTCTATAATTATTTCTAGCTTTTTGTGTAAGCTTAATAACCTTTTTAAGTCTATGAGTGTATGTTTTTAGAAGCAGTCTTGTTTGCTCATTGGGATTTAGCCTGTATCTCCATAGCATTTTTCTCTGTGTTTTAGAACATAACTTGATGCTTTTAGTCAGCCATTTAACCCGTTTATTTAATTGGATAGTAATTGTGTTAATGGGAAAACACAAATCATAAATTAATTTAAAAGTTTCTATAAATTTATTGTAGGCATCATTAGGTTCATTTGCTGTATACAACTCAGAAAATGTAAGTGATTCAATGTATGATTTAAATTTATTCATATTTTCCTTGCTATAATCTCGACGTCTTATTTTCCATGTGTCAATAATGAATTTTTTTGCAACAGGATATTTACACAGCTGTGCAGTGTGGTCCGATAAGCCTAAATTATAAACTTCTCCTTTACAAGCAATAGGTGCATTATAAGCAAAATTGTCTAAACATGTGTTACTTTTCAATCTTGTTGGTTCCTTTAATAATAAATGAAGATTAAAATTTAATAAGAAATTACTGAACTCTAATGCCAGGTTATTTCTTTTCAGTATATCAATATTAAAATCACCACATAAAATAATAATAATAAATAAACATTTTAGGACACATTTTTACAAGTTCTCTAGTCCGAAACTCAGCAACGCTTGTACTATGGGTTCTAGATATTTGATAAACATACTTAAACATACTTTCCTTTTGAAAATAAATACATATTATACATATGTAAACACCCAGACACTGGAAAAACACTACGTTCATCACACAGCATTTATCCAGTAGTGGGGATCGAACACTCCCTGGCGCAGAAGTCAGGTACACTACCCACTGCCATTCGGGCCGACAAAGATACATCGAATCCGTTTACATAGCGATCGACGAAAAAGAAATGTGTCGACAAACGGACGCGGGTAATGCGGCGCGTACTAGATGGTTGGAAATCCCGGCCGCTGAGGTGAGCGATTGTGACAAATCGAATGAAAGGACTATGATTGAGAGCGCCGGCCGGTCTCCTGACGGGCGACGACGAGGGCCACAGACTATATATTACACGGGCTTTATGGACAGACTCGCAGTTCAGGCCGCACGTTTGATAGACAAGCTTGATAGTCTGCGGCGGACCGTGAATACGTGAGCGGCTGTTGACTGGTGACGCATAGAACTGAATAAGAAATTACAGTTAGCAAAATAACATACTTCATTTAGGTCGCGTGGTAGCTCAGTGGGGGCGCTCGCCTTTTGATTCGGTGAATTTGAAAGCAACTTTAGTTCGAAACCGAGTACGGGGTAAATTACACAGTTCAACTAAATCAACAATGCGTACTTACCATATGACAGCAGTGAGCCAAAATATCGTTATATTGTGTGGAAACCTGCACATTTTCGAAATATAAGTATAACTAACATACGCGACATCTGCCATTCGGCAATAGACATCACTAACTGGTCTATGCCTACTACATACATAGAAGGCCTTTGCGCAGTAGAGGAACATACATATATATATAGTCTATAATTCCATGGACGTTAATAAATAATCACAAAGAAACCTACGAATCCAAAAAATGCAAAATAAAATATGCCGTATATATAAATTTAGTTTATCGGTACTCGTACATCCTAGAACATCCATTTGGCATATACGTAAGCATAAACTTAAAGAGTTCCATAACGAATATTATGAAAAAGCCTGTAAATCTAGGGTGATCCGTATTTTGGTTCAAACTATATGGAAAAACTAACATACTATATACCACACAATTTTCATAAACAATAGTGTAGTGGCTCGGATTTACAGCAGGCTAAGCAAACAAGATTCCCGACTAAACTATGACGTAAATGTTATGGACAAATTACTTTTATTTGTAGTCTGTGGTGCAGCCAAGATCTAAACCCAACCAGGCTACTAGCTTACACTACTCAGATAAAACATAATATATAAGGGAAAAAATCTTAATTCCATCATTGTATATAGAACTGTTTTGTATTTTTCACTTGAATGTATGTTTTGTTATGATATTAAGCAAAGGCCTCCTCTGTACAGAGGGTATTAGGCCGTAGTCCACCACGAAACCCCATTGCGGATTGGCAGACTTCACATATCTTCGAGATAATTTTTTTTTGTTATTATTTCGAAAATAGGCAGGTTTCCTCACGATGTTTTCCTTAACCGCTGAGCACATGATAATTCAGCCCATAAAATTAACAATTTCATTGGTACTGGCACCGGGATTTGAAGTCGGGATGCTCGAGTATATTAAATTAAGAGCGAACGCCCGGACCCTGAGCTATCACGTCTCATCTCTCTTTATATCTAGAAATAAAGATTCTTAAAGGAACTATTCAGGACCACCAATTATAACACTAGAGTGTAAATCTACTACCTCGGAAGAAGTAAATTTTGTTTATCTATAGCGCACGTTACACGGTCTTCTGTATCAGTTTCGTTACAAATCGCTGTAGTCTACACCGAGGGCAATACATCAAACACCGCACCGATTTACCTTACTGGAGACTTCGCAAATACAGACGATGCACATAGCCGTCTAATACCCAGATAAACGACTTAACACACACGGGGCAGACCAACATATATACAAAGATAGCGTAAGTGTTATAAAATACACTGTTACAGCAACTCTATAATTAAACTTGTATAAATCCACATTTTGACAAAAAGATACATTTTGACAAGAACGTTGTATAATTATTGGCAACATATCGTGGGCGTAGAAGGAAAACCCGCTAAGTCCAAAATTCGTCATTTGGAGATAAATGGGTTTGAAAATTCAATAAGTCGTGAAAAATCGCAATCACTAGCAATTAAATTTGAGATGTATTTATTGGAAAGACACGAACTTTGAGAAAATCTACACGAAGTGAAAAATACAAAAAAAATCATAGGAACAAGAATTGAGTACAAGTTTCATTAAAAAAAAAACACGAATAGGAACTAAGTTGAGATGGGACGAATTTTGGGATTAAAACTGATTGAGTCGGGGCTCTATCAATCATCTTGTTGATCTCCCTCTTCTTCTGAATGATTCTCGGCATAATCTTCGGCAGTACTTGATGTTGGCAGCTGCTTGTACCATGGGTGGAAGTCTTCAGGGATTGCTCCTTGTCGGCACAGCTTCAGGTCTTTTTTCTTCTGGACACTAATGGGCAGTCGTTTTTCTATACAAAAGAATTATTCCTTCAGGACTTAGCCTGAAATATGGACAACGGCTGATTTTTTTTAATGGAGACCCGGTACTCTACTGCAGAACCCCCCAAACATTATGTGGACGCAAAGAACGCGTTTTTAGCCAAAAATGGACTTAGCGGGTTTTCCTTCTACGCCCACGATATGCAAATATTACTTACAAATTAAACTAGAGTTCCTTTAAAATGTACACGTAAATTCATTCGAAATAAAACAATTAAGTTAATAGTCTATCTCTCGTATACACTTAGATAAATATCCCTACTCAGAATTTCATTATAATCCGTTCAACATTTTTGGCTACAACATGATAAATACTCTTACACAAACATCCTACTTTCAAAGGAAATTCGTCATCGAACTGCGCTGAACAACATCGTCGACATTTCCGCATAATGTGACCTCAACGAATTTTCGCGAAACTTCGAGTCTCGTAACAAACTCACGAAACAAACCGACGGGCGACCGAGCTAGTACCGTCAAGCAATACATTGGTATGGCTGTGTTGCGGTTTGTCAGGCAGAATGGAATTTGCATCCCCTTAACCTCAAATCGCTTTGCAGCACATATTCTGAACGTGGGTGCACCAAAAATATCACCATTGCTGAATACAAAATTAAGCAAAGAAATAATATCGCACGTCTAAACCTGTATATTGGTAGAAATAATAAGGCTATGGTGTGATCCACAAACATTTTCGCCGCAGTGAAAAATTGCTTGGTCTTGGAAAATTTACTTTACCTACAAAAGGCTGTCATAATAAACACATGCCGAAGGATAATTGCAAATAGGTGAAAATGATTTAGACTCCTAATATATCTTCCGGATTTACACAATACATACAACCATTATTTACTTTGTATTACTCGTAAATGAAGAAAATTCGAACTGAAAATCTAAGAAAACACAATACCTGTGATAATAAGTAATTATGACACAATTCACCAAATAGAAAAAAATAAAGGTAAATATTATTTATATAGACTCATAAAAATCCTAATCTCAGCAAATGATGCTGCTTTTCACACACAGCTTTCAGAGTAGACAGGGAGAGACAAAAAAGTCTACGACTAGTAAAGTGTTAGTAAAACTCTGTCGAAGACTGCGACATAATTATATGAGACATTTATGAGCTGGTGAGGAATTCCAAACAAGGAAGTCTCATCGTATCAGTCGCATACACTGTTTCCTCACTCAGGCTCCATCGTTACCCTCCTTATTTTGTTTACATGTTAGTTTTTGCTACGGGACACCGAAACACGTTGACGCAATTTTACCTTCTAAATCCTCTTCCTGGCTGAACAACAGGTCCGGCCATATAGTCTAGTGCAATTAACATGGCACCCACCACGAGTCACACTGAGAAACAGAGAACTATCAGCGATTAAGGTTGCTTGCTTAGACTAGCTTACTGCGTTTTAGTGTCCGGATTTGAAGGAATCTGCCAAATTCATACTCTGCATGTAAGCCCGTTTGTTGCGGTCATTAATACCGTCATCCCCCAGATCACCAAATAACGGCAACTCTGGGCAACTAAAATAGAAAGTATCCCAGTAAAAAAAACTTTACTTATTACTTTGAATATAGTATCAGCACATTCAATATTTGACTATCGTATGATACCATTCGGAGACGTAAACAACCCACACACCCGGATTTAGGTATTGCATATTGATTATTTTCGGATTTTCCCAAATACACCACGAACCGTTCGTCCAAAATACTAATGCAGTTAGGTGTTTCCAAGCAATTCATGAATAAGCGAGTGGCCCAAAATTAAAAGACATTATATTATGTTCACTTTTAGCAGCATAATCTTTACAGTCGAAGATATTGAAAATTAATTCGAATTTTTTGAAAATGTCCCTCATTGAGTATTCTTTAAATTGAGCAGGTGAGTTCTGGAGTCAGTTTTTGGTGTCAAACTAGCCAAGCGGTAAACTGCCTTGTACATACAGTTGAAATCAACTTGAGCTACAATAAATGGAAACTAAAAAAAAAAGCAAAATTCAAACAACACCGAGGGTCAATCTGAACGACTTATATTGCTTTCTTAAGAATCTTTATGACGAAATTTCTTTTATGCCAGTCTCTGAGTTATGTACGCCAAACCGCAGACTGTGAGGCTCCCAGTCTCTCCTGATTTGTCGGTGGATAAGGTGGATAAGGCGGCACGTCCCTCAAAACACTACTGTCTCCTAATTTTGTATAATATGTTCATGCATAAATCTTTTCCCACGTAGGTACACTTCACACTTCACGCTGCCGTCGAATGTTAATGCCCACGTGTCGACGAAAATAGAACGAAGCGCCTGTACTTCGGGGATTTACGAATTTAAATTGGATTATGCAAAGATCCCGCGTCACTCCTAGTACCACGTTGTTTGCATTCAAATGAATTGGGGACAAAAAATGCAAATTAGCTCTTTGGTCAGCTGCAGATATACTTACTTACGACGCTTTATTAAACTTAGTTTAATAAAGCGCCCTGAAGTACCCCTGCATTTCCGTGCATCCTGTTGCATTGCCGTGTGCGCTTGGATTTTGACAAAGTCAATAGTAATTTTGCAATTGTACAAAGCAAACAAACAATTTATAGACATTTGGAGGCACGTAAAATAACATCGATAATTTTAATACACATTGATTAGAGACGACCTGGCACGAACTAAGCAGAAAGTCCTCAAAGTATGCGTAGAGCTAAGCCTTTATAGTATTCATTTGTTCAACAAATAAAATTGCGTGAGCTTAGCCTCATAATATGGATTGGACATAAATTAATAACTTCACATGTTTTGAGTTTCTTTTTTTTTTTATCTTTTAAGTTACAAGAGAGCAGACATCCCTCTAAGCACGACACACCAGGGAACAGGCACCAGCACGAGTCACCTTGCAGTATTCGTGTTCGATATCTTAGAAAAATGTCAACCAGACAACGGGTTATTAATAACGCGAGCGGCGCCATCAATTTTGGGGGGGAGGTACGCCTGTAATGGAGGGGTCCGTGTTGCCATACGTAACATATGGGACCGTCGGGGCAATAACTCTACGGTGTGTCGCCCGTATATCAAACTGACGCATCGCTTTTGGATGTGGCGACTGGGGAAAAAGGTGCGCCCTTGACCGAACAACCCTGTCTGCCACATCCAAACGAACGGCATTCTCAAGAAGGCACTAGTTGCCGGATAAACCATAATTTTACGGCTATAACAAAAATAATTTTGAAGACACATAAACCTATAAATCTGCATTGGGGCTGAAACTGATATGCCGTAATAAAGAGATCTGTAGGTCTTTACATAACAGTGAATGGTATTTACTTGGGTTAGTTCTCTTTGCTTTCTCTATCTATTATCAAATACTCGATTCCTTACTTTTTAATTAAATCCATCAAAATAGTGTCTCGTCTCTGCTGTTAAATAGTGTACTAAACTAAAGTTATTCATACGGTGCCGATAATAAACCTGTCAATGTCAAATTAGTCACAGTATTTTATAGCCCATTGTTCCTCCAAGCACAATATTAAAGACGTGACATGACAAAATTAAGAAACGGATGCGAGGCATGTACCAAAATGTGTACTATGGTCATACTACTTTACGGATATTATCCTATCAATTTTTATTTCGATCTAGACACGTAGAACGAGGCCTTCATCAGCCTAAGGCTTCCTCAAGGTCGTAGTCGCCACTCGAGAAATTTCTCGAGCGACAACAGCACCCGGTGGATGCGAAAGGCGAAATAGTCAAAAATTAACGGGAATCCGAATCAACTCTGACATTATTACATCTCCATCTATCCTGTGCCGATGAACGCTATAAAGTGTTCCAAACGTCAGAAATTTAAAAACAAAATAAAACGAGATAAACCCCATAACGAGATAAAAGCAGGCGGTGGATGCAAATCGCAGTGTCGTTCGTTGTGGCGTTTTATGGGGGAGGCCTTTGTTCAATAGTGGACGTCTTTTATTCGAGGAGGATGATGATGATGATGTATTCTACAAAATGCAAGAAGTCATCAAAATGTGTAATATCAAATATTGACAACTGAAACAACTCTTCGACTTGGAAAGTAGCTGGAGTCTGCAAAGCGCTTGTAGCCCCGACCGAACGCCGTGTGTCGGTAACTGGATATGGTAAAGCGGCCGGCAGATGGCAACGGAAGCGACGGTGGTGGGTGGTCAGTTGATTGAAATAAATTAATTCCGCCTCGCTTGGAACGCAACTCAACATTAAGGTTGAGTTTGGGCGTTTGGCGTTTTTGTATCGATTCAGATTCCAGCATTAAATTTAAAATTTAAATTTTAAATTAATTAGTTATAGTGCCCAAAAATAATACAAGTCTAAATTGAGCACCATGCAGTATGACACTGACTGAAAAGGATAAGAGTTTGCACCCAACAGCTGACTGTATATAATCCCATATAAAATTAGTTACGCTGACGATAATGCAATATAATATCGCGTTGTTCGTCAAAAGTCCTCTCCGAGAAACACCAACGGCCAAATGGAATGGAACGGACCCATTTTTCTTGAGAGCCATAAACCGTAGGACGGATTGGTTGAGTGCGGGCCGACCTTTTGCCGGCACCGCACTGAGGTCAGACTGAGCTTGGTCCGATAAACGTTTGGTTTAACGATAAAGCTGCTCGCACACTCAGCCAAGTGCGGTACACAACGTATAAACTTACCGCTGTACTCATTTTTTTTAAAGAAGCTGTCTGTAGACAGTAACAACATCAGGATTCTGTAATCTGTTGTACCAACTATTGAGAGTGATTATTCGGTCGCCTCATATATGTAACGGAATAACGTAAAAATAAATAACTTTTTGCCTATATTTTAATTGACGAAAGGTCGCAACGACTTCCGCTCTCTAGGCGGGTTGGCCGTATAGCTCGTTAAGAAGACCGGCGTGAATTAGAATAATTATACTGTTGCGTACATTGTAAATGTCCATGGGCGCGGTAATATCTCAACATCTGTGGAACTGGCTGCAGGACAAGTTTATTTGTGATTTTCCTTGCACAGGTCCTGGACGAATTATAAATAGAATCATAAATAGCGTCATATGATAAAGACCCTTGGGACAGAGGAGGGGAAGTTGAGAAATAAAGACGTTGCTTCACTCGCGACTTAGTCTGTCGCCGGCGCAAAGAGATCAGAGCGCGAATTGCCCGATAGGTAACCGTTAAGTCAGTCGCAGAGGTCACCGCACGCCCCGCGGACCAAATTCTAAGTCCTTGCGCAAGGCGAGACGAATGATTTATGCGGTCAGAGTTGTATCTCAATATTGCCTGACCTCCCTGCGGGCTCCTAAAGCTAGTCGCTGTTGTTATTACAGACTCGGTCGGGCGAGTGGCGGAGCTTTTGTACTAATAGTTACAAACATCACTACATAGTATAAAACAAAGTCGTCCCGCTGTCTGTCTGTCCATATGTATGCTTAGATCTTTAAAACTACGCAACGGACCTTCATGTGATTTTCTTTATTAGATAGTATTTCAAGAGAAAAGTTTTTATGTAGGTATGGTATGGCAAATATTACCGATAGATAAATTACGATTTTTTCTGTGGTAGGGCCACGCAGCAGCCTCGGCTGT